GAAAATGGTGGATACATTTTTAGATTCAGTGAGAACTTTTTATGATTTTTCTATTATTTGCTTGAATTTGATCATTAAAACACTATTTAGCACAGGATTGATTTCTTCACAGATCTTTTCTTCGATGTTAGATATATCGCTCGGTGGTGGCCATTACATAATTTTTAGCAATGCATATGTATATACAGATACATATAGACATCTAGAATTTTGCTTCACCGAATTTCTATATTTCCACACACAAGAACGCGGCGAGAACTTAACACACAAATATATATCTACGGTGTATATATGTGCCTTCGATATAGAGTGTAGATGAATTTTTCGGGTTTTTTAGTTTGGTTTTCTTGATTTTTCTTGATTATTTTCTAATTTTCTTTTTCAGTCTCTACACAGACACCGAAATAAGAGAGAGCGAAATTTTCGTAGATTTCTTTTCTTTTTTTTTATCTTTTGGTAGGAAATTTGGCGCACACGCATTTTGTTCGTATTTTAGCCTGGTCGGAATTCCAAGAACTTGATAGGTTAGAAATGGACTTTGATGCAGCGATTCCAAATCCACAAGCCGATCGATCCTTACCTCCAAGCGGGAGAGCGAGCTCAGATCCTGGATGTATTCGATGTTAACATCGGCGGCACCGGGTCCAGTGGATGTGGCCCGGTAGGAGTATTTCGAGGAGCGGACAGCCTGCGATGACGACATGTTTGCTAGGTCAGATTTTCGATTCTGTGTATTTGAGTTGTGGTTCTCTCTAAATTAATTTGCGATCGAATTCGCGTATATCTAATATTATGATTTTATATATCCTCTCAAGCGAAAATCTCTACAGCACCGCACGCAGTTTTGTAGTTGTCACCGAGTCACCGAGAAAATTCGTAATAAACGTCGGAGTAAGGCTGGTGATCTACTGAACAAGAGATCCCGTTGTCGTTCGAATAAAGAGTATTTCGTTGATTTGGCCGCTGGTCGCTGGTGAATTCGTCTATTTCAACGATTTCGTCGGCTCCCTTCGTTCTAAATCGTCCACCTTCGGCTCTTCTCCGATCTGAGTTGGGCTGGGGGATATCTATGTACATACATATATATATCCCCCACCAAATGTGAGTGGGACTTTTCGAGTGACTTTTCACGCGGACCGTGTTGTTGTGTTAATTGCTCAGTTGTGTGGAAAATTCTTTGATTTTTCATTTTGGCCCCAGCCGTTTGTGTGAACGCATTTTCACGCTGAGAGCTTGCCCCCTACGAAAATAAACTCAAAAACACGAAGTACGTGTGTGCTTTTCTTTGCTTTTCTTTCGCTTACCTGTAATTAGCCTGTGTCATTTGTGCGTTTCATTTTGTGTATCTAGCGTCTGGCCAGGCCAGAATGTATCTACACATAAATTTTTACCATTTTCCCAACTCTCGAAGATACATATAAGTCATGTTGAAATATTTGGCATCTTCTTCAGATCATAAAGTTCATAATTTATATTTATTGGCTAATTTCGTTGGTTCAGGGGCCTCGGCTAAAACTTTTTGTTTGTGTTTAAGGTGTTGCCTAAACTAGAGTTTCAGCACGTAGTTCCTCGATAATGGGGTTTATTATACCTAAATTCTTGGGGGTTTTAGGGGGTTGAACTAGAAAATATGTTCCAAATAACGTGACTTGATTTGGGAAAGCTATGTAGTTTGAGTTGGTTTCTTGTTAAAACTATTTTAGTAAGAATAAGCAGAAGTTCATGAGATTCTGAACATTGCTAAAAATCATTATTGGATCCATTTCAGATCCCATATATTTTATATATATATATTTTATAATCCCGCAAAGAGCTCTCCCATGCTACACTACACACATCCCGAAGGTATTACAAAATTTTGTAACAAGCAGAAAAATCATAAAAGTGTCAAAGTTTCCGTTGATATGGTTTTAAAAATGCATCGCTAACAGCCAATTAGGATTACAGCAATGCGGTCTAAAAATACTTGACTTTTGGCATCGAAACGTGTTATTTGCCAGCATAAATAAATAAGCGTAGAGAGCGCGAAAAAAGGTGTGCGAAATAAACAAAAATATACAAAATTTTGAGTGAATCCTTGGCCATGCGGACAACAGTCTGCTCAGCCTCAGACAATGCGTTGTCATCTAACAATTGTTGTTCAATGGTCACGTAGGTGATATATAGATATATCTCTGTGTTTTGGCAACTGACATCGCCTCTCCATGTCTACATAGTAAATATGTGTTTTGTAAATAAATTTCTTAAATTTTGAGTTAGCTTTGGTACTAAGATTTTTAGCTCAGTTTTTCCAAAGGAAACGACGAAGCTTTTGAGTGATTCCTTCGTATCTCTAACGATCTCCTCCACCTGTGCTCTACACACACAGACAACCTCACCTCACTCACTACTATACTTAAAAATGATTTTTCGCTTATTTTTAGCAACCGAATTTCATGTTATTTCTGCCTTTTTTTTTCAGCTTGCTCATAATCGTGTTCATTTTCCACACACATTTCACCTGAGGCCAACACAAATACACTTTCTGACTTTCCGAAGATCGAGATGGGCTAACCATCCTTATATATAAGAGCAGGTTTTTTGCTCCGTTCGCATTCGTATCTTGTAGATACTTAGCTCTTGCTGGCCATAACTTTATTTATTTTATGCACCCATATATACAATGTTGCCGCTACTCTGCATACATATATATGTATAAAAAATATATACATATAGAAGTGCGCGCCAGGCAGCCGTAGAATAATATTTAACATTTTGTGTGTTTGCCACATTTTGGAATGTGTAATAATTTAAAAATAACCTGGCGAATATGTAGCAAGCCGTTCGCCGATAAATAAGTCAGCCAAAAATAGAACCAAGCCAGACAACGACACCTTTAGTCAAAAAAGAAAATATATTTAAAAAACCGAATCCCATTCTCAACATGATTTTGGGTTCGAAAAGGGGGAAAAAAACTAAACACTAATGCCTGCTTGCCAGGTGTCTGTGTGAGTTTTCCGGCCCATTGCCCATCATTTTACAGCTGCACTGAGGTCAGTGATGGGGACAGGATCCCAGCCCCCCCATTCCCATTCCCAATCCCAATCCCAATCCCATTTTCCTACCTCCACCTCAAGACAGAAATCACTCAGCGAACGAACGTTGGGTGTCTTCTATTTCTTTCATGTTTCGTGTGCCAGCTATACAAAATTAGGTCAAAATTGTTATGATCACACAGATACACACGCACACAGAGTGAGAGTACCGCTGTGCTATGCAGTTATATATAGAACGACTTCAGCTTTATAGAGTGTGTGCCTACTTGACGAGCAGCCACTTTCTGCAAGATGCTCCTCTTTTTTTTTGGCTTTTCCCAGGAGTGGAGTGCTGTGGAGTGGAGTGGCTGCCAGATAAGCTCAAGTGGGCGCCATCGGTGGCTCCAACTAGGTGGGTGGTGATGAAAATTCCCAGCCATCAGTCGGTAAAAATAGAACCCTAATGCATTTAGTTAAGAACCACAAAGGCTCTAATGCGTTGTAGTTCCCTGGAAAGTGTGACACTTTGCTTCCCGGTTCTTGAGTTTTTCGCGAATTTTCCATTTTCCCTCGTCTCATTTTGGCGTTGACAACTTCCAATCATCTGGCTGATGATTCACAAACGACGCTCTCATAATGTCAATAGCCATTGTATGGCCAGTGGATATGTGCCGTTGACAAATCTGGGATTTCGTATGTCCCGATGGCGCAGCACCCACTATCCGTTGGCCTTATGGCCATGCCATAGAGCTTCGACAGCGGGCTGTGACGTGGCGCACATTTATCTGAGTCATACGGATGAAAAATACGGCAAACATGCAAGATATATTCTGTACATGATATATGGGTTGGTGGGTGCAGAAAGGCGTGAAATATTCTATAATATTCCGAACCGATCTTGCTCAAGAGTTGTGCTGAAAAAGGAACTTAAGGAGAAGATACAACGAATTTGTTAGGACAACATCGAGATTGATTAAAACAATAAAAAACACCTTTCTAGTTGGTCAAAAGAAAAGAATTTCAGGAAGAACGTAATCTGTTTATGAATAGAATTCTGTATTTATAAATAGATGGCCAAAATAAAACTACTTCTACCAATACTTTTGGCCATATTCCTGTATCTACACATTTACCCTGCCCCTTGCATGTTGATCTTACCAATGAAATGGCCTGTTGACAGCTTTATTCTTTGGCAGTGTTTCATTAAGGTTATAGGCAGGAAACTTGCCTGTCTAACAAAGAAGAGATTTTAAAATTAATTTTTTAATATTTTAAAACCTTAAAACGAATAAATAAGTTCTTAGATCTCTGAAGAGCATTTATAATTCGTTATTCAGTTTAATTTGTTTTTCTTCTAACCGATTAATCATCAGAAATATTTGCAGATCGTGATGCTAAATGCAATCGAAATTTAATTATTGTCGCCGGTGAAAAAATTGCATTTGACGGTTTTAATTATAATTTAATGTTTGTCTGAGTTTTGAGCTAAATATTTGTCGTCTTAAATGTAAATATTGTTAGCAGCAGTGTCATCATGTTGTCGTCAATTTAGTTTAATTAGAATTCTATACAAATATTTATATATATATATATATTTATATATCGGAAATAAGTTGCCTTTCACAAGTATAAATTTAGGTTTTTATGATGAATATGAATACAAAAATATAAAAAACAAAGATTATTTAAATTAAGCATTGAAGAAGATTCTTTTTAAAATATTTTATGTTAAGTTAAATTGAGTTTTACTAAGAAACATTTATTTTTAAAGTTAATAAAGATTTAAAAAGATTTTTAGCTAAAACTCAAACCAAAAGTCTAAAAATCACTCATAGATGGCGCTTTATTTACCTATCCAGAAAGATTTTAAAGAGGGCGCAATGTAGATATTTCGTATATATAAATGTAGATAATCAAACTGTAAAGACAAAATCATAAAAACATTGTCTTTGCTTGGACTTTCCTTTTGAAAACAAGTTCTTTGAATAAGGAAAAAGGAAACTTTAAGTATATTAGTTAAAACTTAGTAGGGATAACATATGCATTATAATATTTCTTCAAACTATGCTAACTTTCCACCGAACATTTTCAGTTCAAGAAGAACTCTATCAAGTTGGTCAGCCGCCGCATATTGACGTAGTTGACCAGCACGACGTAGGCATAGCAGGTGTAGATCTAAGCCCACCACTGGAAGTGGTACGGCTCCTTGGATCCTCCGCCACCTCTTAGGCGACCGAAACTCATGTAACCATTGCCCTGCAGGACGTGGGCGTGGTGCCGCTCACTGAGAAGGCGACGGAACACCGCTCCACTCATGTAGACAACGGTCAGCAGCAAAATGAGGCGCCGCAGGTGCACCAGCAGAAGGGCCATTTTTGTTATTCTTTTCGGCTATCTGCAGAAGTCAACTTAATTTTTCATCACTAATTAAACAAAGTTAATGGGCCATACCCTAGGGAGACTTCCGTGGGATCCCGATTTCAGAACTCAATATTTACTCCGACTTTTTCGATTTATTTTCGCATTTACGCGAGATTTTCGCATTCCACCTTGTCGTTTTGTTTTCGTCGCATTTTTCGCTTGTCTCTGTGGTGGATTTATATATAGAAATCGGAAAAGTATTTTAGCTGGCAACACTTGGTTAAAGTTTTCAGAATTGTTTTTGAAAAAGTCTATTTAAAAAGCTTTTTATGTTTGGCGGCTGTGAGTTTTGAATTTGTTTTGTTTTTAACACGAAAAAGTTTACGTTTTGCAATAAATTTCAAGCAATTCTTACAGAAACTGTCAGTGCTTGCCAAATCGAATGAAAATCCACTTCAAATGGAGCATGAAAAGACTCTTCAGATAGCTATCAGCGGTGCTGAAATAAGCTACCTTCCTAAGTACACCCATAAAGAAATATCTAGAAAAATCAACAGGCTGCATCCGATTAAGATCTATCGGGTCAGGGGCGGCCCTCGAAAGGGGATAATCAAAAGATTTTATTAAATATAAATGTAAATATATATAAATATTTTTAAAAGATTTTTATAAGTGGCTGATCATAGTAATTTCCTACTTATAAAACCCCATCAACCTTTGCCCCACAGCCTCTGCTCATACGTAATGCGTATACGTAATATTCCCATGAAAGAAACAAAAGCGAAATACTTGAGACCCCGGCACACACTTCTAACAACAGCTCCATGCAATGCAACCTTGAAACGGCGATCAAATCCCCAGGCCATTCGGAGTGGGATCAGGCCAAACAACAACAACACGTCCACAACCCCAACATATTTGTCGGAGGGAAAAAAAGCAAACAAATCCGCTTGAAGATTGCAACACGCAGTGAGGTTGGTTAAGAACAACAGCAAAAGGCGGCGGCAAAATACAATATTTAAATTAAATATTAGCACACCGAAACGTAGCAGAAACGTAGCTGCCTGGAAAATGGGAAAAATGTGAGACGAAAATGTGGCAATAGCCATCCATCTACAGCCCAGCGGAAAATGAGATGTAAATAAAGAAGGAAAATGAACGAAAACATAAACCAAAAACTATTAACTGCAAATTGGGTCTTATTGTGTTTAGCTGTGACATGGCAACTAAAATAGAAATATGTTTGATGTATTCGTAGTATATATACGATCTGGCAACAAGTTGTATATAGATTTTTATAGACTTTTTGGGGCACAAACAACCGCCTGTTAGGACTGAATTCCAAAAAGGCAATGTGTTAGGGAAAAGGCAAAAAATAATTAGTTTAATTTCTAATTTCAGTTTGTTAAACATTTGAAATTAGTTCAGCACTAGGAATAGTATAATTACTTAAATAGTTTCTTTTTTTAATTTATGTTTTTCAGATTTAATATTCATTTTCCCTAAACATTATATCTCTCATCTGGGGGCTATCCCCCGAAAGAGTTTAACCACAAAACAATTTTCTCGGCTTTTATTGTGTTTTATGAGCACGCAAACAAATTGCATCTGCTGAGAGCGCCAGCCCCCTATCCCAGATCCCCGATTCCCGATCCCTCCCCCTGGTAACATCGCACTCGATTCGTTTTATTAACTAGCGTTTGTATCGTTTCATTGCATAATCTGTCGCTGAAGGCACGCCCCCAAAACGACCGCAGACACACTCGTAAATTACAAATCGTACGAAATGATTGAAAGGCCCAGAGATCGGCCACTGGGATGCGGATGAAGATGGAGCTGCATTCGGCGAGGAGATCGCATCCCATAGGAGCCCTGGGCATGCACTGAGAAGAAAGTCTTACTCTAAAGTGGAAAATAAAGGCATAAAGGTAAAGTTTAGCAAACATTTTCTGATTAAAATTAAGAACCTTATCATCTTAACTTTAATGGTAAGCATCTAACATTTAAACCTGCTCATGGAACCCAATATTTTTCCCACTGCAGTTGAGTGGCTGGGGCAAGGGGGTTGGCATGGGGCAGCATGATTGACCGACTGCGTGGTGCACCTCGTCGTTGCTCCCGGGGATTGCCGGGTCTGACTTTTATGGCTGTCGGTGTATTTCTTTTTATTGCCTGCCCAAAATCCGTTTCTAGTTTTCCACCGCCGTTCCTCTTGATTTGTTTGCATTCAGTTTTCAGTTTTTTGGGGTTTTCAGTTTTCAGTTTGTTGCTTTTTTATACCCGTTACTCGTAGAGTAAAAGGGTATACTAGATTCGTTGAAAAGTATGTAACAGATAGAAGGAAGCTTTTGCGACCCTATAAAGTATATATATTCTTGATCAGGATCAATAGCGAAGTCGATTGAGCCATGTCCGTCTGTCCGTCCGTCCGTCCGTCCGTCCGTCCGTCCGTCCGTCCGTCCGTCCGTCCGTCCGTCCGTCCGTCCGTCCGTATGAACGCTGAGATCTCAGGAACTATAGCAGATACAAAGTTGAGATTAAGCATGAAGATTCTTGAGGTCCCGGGACAGCGCAAGTTTATTACAGCATCCTGCCACGCCCACTCTAACGCCCACAAATCGCAAAAAACTAAAATTACTGAAATCATAGGAACTATTGCAGTTAGAAAGTTGAAATTCAGAAAGTATAATCTTTAGATGACAGCGCATCTTATAGTAGTACTACTATCCGGCCTCACCCACCCATACGCCCACAAGGCTCAAAAGACGGTTTTCGGATTTTCTAGAAAAGCTGATATCTCGGTAACTATTCGTAATAGAAAGTTCGGATTAAGCATGTAGGTTTCTATGATGCTCCCAATGCGAATTGTTTTTTTCCGATCAAGCCACGCCCACTCTAACGCCCACAAAATCCGAAAAACCAAAAATGCAAAAATCTCAAAAACTATAAGAGCTACACAATTTTGCTTAGAAACACATATTTAGTAGATGCCTCTGCAACTTGCCACGAAGTTGCATTAGGCCACGCCCACTCTAACGCCTACAAACCGCGGAAAACTGTGGCGTCTATAATATTATTATGAATGCCTTTGTTTGACCTTGTATAACTTATTTCTGTTAATATCTATCGATTTACCAAAGGTTTTTCAAATCGGAACATTATTGCGCTATTTATGAAAAAATTAAGGTTATAAGGCCTCACATGGGAAGTGACGTCACTATAAGCATACTCAACATACTTCCTCTGACAATAGGTGGCGCCTTGTGAATTTCCACTAGCAAAATTAATATTTTAAAATTGTGTAAAACAGTAACGGGTATCTTATAGTCGCGGCACTCGACTATAGCGTTTCCTCTTGTTTTCATCTAGGTTGCGTTGGCGTCTCTGCCGGCAGCACGCACTGGGAAAATATTTGTGGAAAGCATGCGAAATGCACGCCTGTTGTGGATCTTTTATATTTTTTAATGCAGCGCTGAAAGCTATTTGTATCTGTCGGTCAGATTGGGTTAAGACGCCGCCCCTGCGTGTCTTTCGTCAAAGTGTCGAGCCACTTTGCCGGGAGCTATTAGCCCATTGATGCCTTTGGCTCTCCTCTCCCTATTTTTTTTGTATTCATTCCCTTGGTAATTTAGCATCTTTGTCTGATTTATGGCGCAGGCGGAAACAGGGGGCAGTAGCATTCTTTTCCATTTCGAATTGCCTTTTCTTTTGGCATTTTGCGCATATTTAGTTTAAATGTTTTTCGTAAAGCCAACTGAATGGCAGTTTTATTTCGTGTTTAGACGTCATCTTTTTTAGCCGCACGTTTCCGGTGACTGCCGGCAGCAGTGGCAACTGCAAAAGTGGCACACAGATTTTTATTTTTAAAACCAGAACAAATATGCGATATGTGTCGTTGTCTTCTGCATGATATCTGTGATAGTTTTACTCAGATTTTCTGTGATACACAAATGAACCGGCTAATGCCTGTGGGGGCAGAGGGTAAGTAAGTGTATGAGTAGGTGAGGGAAAGGAAGGAGGAAAATTTAACTAAAGAAGATGTTATAGAAATCATTCTAAAGACTATTTTACAGATCATTAATACTTTATCTTCTCTAATTGTCATATAAATCTGAGCTAAATAATTTCTTTGTTTGAGAAAAATTGTAATTTTCAGTTTTGCTTTCCTTTCTAGTCAAAGTATAATCCGAGAAGACACCTCATCAGGTTGTAGACCTCCTCCGACAGCGGTTTCGCTGTCTTTCATTCATGGGAACATGACCGACTGCATCTGTATCTGTAGGTGACAATTATCGTTTGCATCACAGATACTTTTTTATGTATCTTTCTGGATACCCCAGATAGGCCCACTCCCAACTCTCATCGCCCACTCTTCGATTACTCACCGATGCCAAAAATATTTAAATTAATTTATTCGACTAATAATAGAGGCAAATAGCTGGGTTGGAATGAAGCAGCCCAAATAGATATGAAATACTTTCGAGTTGCATTTTATGAGCATTACAAGAATTTTTACGCATTTCCCTACATTGCGGTAGTTGAAATCAAGAAGCTGGCATATATAGCCGGTTGGCCGATTTCTGTCAGATATATATGTATATATATATGCGGAGCAGATACACACGGGAGTGGGTAAAGATGGGTAGATGGAGGGGCGGGCAGCTTTTAATACTCTTTGTTATGATTGTAAGTTTCCTTCTTTGTGTTACAAAGTTTGCGGGATATTATTATATATTTTTGTAATCATTTTTGATACTTTTTATGTGATCAATACTGATACTTTTTCATGAACTTTTTCAATTTTTTTACTTTGTAACTCCAAGCAAATTGAGATAGGGACAAATTTAAAACCAAAATTTTGCCTATAATCGATTTTTATAGGTTGTCCGTTTGATAAATATCAGGTTGTCCGCTTAAGAGAAAGTTTGCTAACTTTTTAAGGCAAATTAACAGATTTCCCTTTAAATACGTAAGATTACTGATCCATTTTACCTATCATACCCCTTTCCCAGGGTATCCAAAGAACTTTTATTTATTTCTCTATTGCAATTTACAAACGCAGCGATCGCCGACGTTAGAGAGCCGGCAGAATCTCCGAGAGCTTCTTCTGAGATTCTCTCGCTTGCCGAAAATACACGCATACCCCGAGCCAAAAGAGAGGCGGAGACTTTCCTCCACTCAGCTTTTCACGCAATTCAGTGCGAGGGAAAATCTCAGCACGAAAATATTTTTCCCAACGACCAGACAGTTTTCCTTTGACAACGCGCCGAGTCGCACACACGATTTTCCTCTCGGCCCGATACGTTTCGTTTCGTTTCGTTTCGTTTCGATATTTTCCTGTGAGCCAAGAAAAAACTCAAGAACTGAAAACAAAAATCGCGTTCGCATGCGACAAAAAATATCTTTCAGCGAGTGTGTGAATGTTGCTAAATTTATAAATAACAGCTTAAGTTCTGCTGCTCCCAAAGTAAATCGAAATAAAAGCAAAAGTGATGCGTTCGCTGTCGTGAGGAGGAGAGAAAAGGGAAATGTAAATGGAAAATGGGAAAAGCAAGGCGGGGGAAAAGAAGTAAGAAAAATATCAACGCATAAATAAAGCGCCGCGTTCGCGTCCAATTTCTGTCGCATTTGCCGGCTGCATTCCCAAATAGATCGGCCCGCTATAGCCTATAGCTGGTCGAATGCCCGTGGGCAACGCAGTATATATCCCCAACCTGGCCGGTGCGTGCCGGTGGATTATGTAAAGTGGCACACGGCCGATCTCGGAATATCGTCGAGCGCGAAAAAAAAAGAAAAAACCAAAACAACCAAGGAATGAAAGTTTAACCAAAAACAAAAGGAAAATTAAAATGAAAATAAAATGAAATAAATGAAAAGAAGGGAAAAACAGAGAGTGTCGTTGAGGATCCGTAGAAATTTGTCGCACGCGCGCGTTTTCAGTAAATGCAACTAATTTATTTTGCATCTATTGCAATTGAGTTGAGAATCGAGAATCGAGAACCGAGAATTCGCCGAGTGCCGATCCGCCAGATACGTTTTCGTAATTGTCGTCAGTGGTTCGAGTTGCTCCGTTTCGATCGTCGTACGCCTCAGTGTCCGCCAGATTGGATTACCACCCAGTCCACACGAGCCCAAAATAATTTACACAAAATTTTCGTGAAATTGGTAGGGCCAAAGATATATGTATTGTGACTGAATTTTGATTAACGAAATCGAGGATCGTTTGCCAAAAGCAACGCAATGTCGTCCTACCGCAGTTATGTAAGTACTAGTTAATGCAGCGCCAACTATCCGTATCTCGAATCTCGTAATATATCTCATACTATATACCGCATAGTCTGTATCTCGATCTGTGTATCTTTGCTCTGTGTATTTTTGCAAATCTTCGCATCCACATATTTTGTTTATTTCTAATTTGTTGCCTCTACCTCAGGCACGAGTATTTGGCAGATATATCTATATGTGTGTGTGTATCTCAATATACAAGGCAGATAAAATGTATCTGAAAGTTTGCGCTCTCATTCTGGTGAGCTCCAGTTCCATTGATAAACAATTCAGATACAAATTTGCTCATTGTCTGGTCGTTGGTTTGGATTTCTGTCTAGTCGATTGTTCTAATTTCCTATCCATACAAAGAGCAGGAATTATGGGCGAGGTGTGGCTACTGAATGGCTAAGTGTTTGAATGGCCAAACAAATGCTTGAGTAAATGGCTTTTATTTAGGCAAAAAGCAGGTTGAATGGCCAATTTTCTAGAGTATTTCATTTGATTTATGTTGGTAGTTGCGCATGTGAAATGGTTAAGGGTGTTGGTTTGAGATATTTGACAGATTTTTATGATTGAAAAAAGGCTAAAGAATATTGACAGGCACTTCTATATAGTTTCTAAGATATAACAAGCTTATAATCCCATAATACCACCCCTCAATTTCGGTTGCCATTCGCCCTCTCTAATCGCTTTTTACCTAATCCCCTTCATGTCCAACTCATTATATCCTTTTGTTCCCAGGCATCAAGTTTATGACTTTAGTTCGACTTCTGACTCATTGGGCATAAATCAATTAAATATTTTTCGGGTCTCAGAGTCTAATAAACTGATCAATTTATAGCCGGCAAACAACAAGTTTCTGTCCCCTCTCATCTACCCACACTTAACTTTATCTTCGCCCAAGTCATTCCTCCAATTATATTTAGAATGTTTCTAAAAATGTTGGGAGTAAAGGAAAATGATTTCTGTTTCTTTCACGTTGACGCCGCCGTCTTCTTTTTTCTGGTTTGGAGTTGGTACTTTGTTGGAGGAGATTTTTATGGCCAGGAGGAAGTTGTAAATATTTATGACACGCATAAAGTTGAAAGTTCTTTTTCGGTGAGAGCCGCGGAGCACGCACCACCTAATTAATTAACAAAGTGTGAATATTCATGCAATTTGTTTTGAGGGAGGAGGAAAATGGTGGGAGTCTCTAAGAGAAGAAGTTAAAAGAAAGTGAAATAATCCAGTTCAAAGATCAAGTTCAATTTGAATCTCTCATCAAAGTGTATCAAAATTATTATAGTGTAGCAAAAAGGAAGGCGGTGCTAGGTGCTTCTCAAATTGGCTTCGAGATCAAGATTTGTGAAACAAGTTATTTGAGCCTAAGACCATCCACCCACACTAACCCCACATTACCAAACCACCAACTGCCATCAACCAACCCAATACACTAACACTCTTACACGGAAAGGATATTATTTTGTTAAAAAAAATACCTAAGAAAAAGATGCCCCGGCGTCGTCGTCCACGTTGCAAGGTGAACCCTTCGATAGCGCTAAGGAAAAAGAGCCAAGAGAGCAGTTCCAATCAGCCGAAGGTGGAGACACCACGACCGCCTCCCTTACCGGATCCGCCCAGTGAAGAGCCACCGGAAATCGCCTCCACGACGAGTGTAGATTCTGGAATCGAATTGGATTACAAATACTTCCCGGAACTCTACGATCGCCAGCCAACAGTGCCCACGTTTGCGGATATTTTCGGTCAGCCCTCGTACGGATTGGTATTACAAAAGCCGGATTCAGATAGTTCCTCCACCACGTTTAATACCGGTGGAATCTGGAGTACAGCCGATGGCAAATTTACCAATATTCCGTCAACTATGCTGGCAGATCGTTTCGGGATCATCGGACTGCTGTCTGCCATGAGGACCACGCACACGGATCCAACCGCAACGCAGCTGGTCTTTGGTGAGGATCTGACCACCTATGGACTGGATCTGGCTGCCCAGGGCGATATCTATGTGCATTTCAATGGACCCCTTACCCGCGAACCCCCAGAAAGATCCTCCATGGACTGCGCCCTCGAGCTGGGTATGCGCGGCATGCGAGATTCGATTACTAATCATCCGCCAAAGGCTCCCGTCTGGGATCCTTTCGTACCGGAGTCTCAAGATCTAGGTCTCTTGGTGGGTGATATCCATGATGAGAGCAAGAAATCCAAACCGGAAACGAAAACAGAACCACAGTCAAGTTCTGATTCTGTTAAAGATTCAAAAGAGGATCAAAAAGGCAACCTGGAAAGCTAACGAAATCTTAAAAGGCGCCGAGGATCAAAAGAGAGAGAAGTCCCAAGGAATAGCAGCCTGGCAGTTGGTTAGATCCTTGAAATCTTGGTAAAATTATTGCTCTTTGTGAATTGGTAGCCCTTCCATATAGGAAAATCTTTGGCTCTAAATATAGAATCGAGTTAGGAGTTTAAAGGGGTTCTTTTTGGGGTAAAAGGGTTGGTGGTTCCCAAAATTTGTTAACTTTGAAAATGCAGCTGCAAAATGAAATGAAAATTTCTGCTTGCAAGATACATTTAAATGATTTTCTTAGATTAAATTTCCCTCTTAACCAGCACTAGTCTCGAAACATTTTAGTTTCGTGAAACGCATTTTCGACACATTTGACAGAGGAAACGAGAAAAGCGTTTAAAAATAAATCATTTGTCTGGCACGCGAATATTCAGTCGCCACTTCAAATCATCTGGGGTCACAGTCTAAATACTCTGTGAGTGGATGGCTTTCCTGGGCGTGCTTTATGGGCCGTGGCTACTGACAGACAGACGCATTACACTGCATCCTGCTCCTTGTTCCCTTTACCCAGCAATGGTCCCTATAGTCCCGGCAATCTCCTAATTGAGACCGCATAATAACGCTGTCAGATGTGCAGCACTCTCATCTGGTATTGGCGGTGAACAAAGTACACATGGCGAAGCCATTCCAGAGATGGAAGACCCATCCACACGATCATCCAGTCTCCTCCGGGCTGAGTGTCTCCACCTCCGTTTGCTTGTTTTGCACATTGTTGGCTATTTGTGTGTTTGGCATTCCATTTCACTGAGCGAAAACAATTAGCCGAGACTGTCTGTCTTTCTTCCTCACTCTCTCTCGCTCGCTCAACAATTCTTCACATTGGGCGGGCGCTGTAATAATATTATTTTTTATCCCCAGATAGTTGTCATTCGCCTGGGATTGGCGCCACTTGGCAGCAGCTCTATTTTAAGTGATTTTCATAGGGAAATTCCTTAAAGAATTTTCATGGGCAATCATTGGAAGTTCATCAAAGGTTAGGGAAGAGTTCTTTGAGATTTTTATTATGATTATCTGTAAAAGTTTGGTGTACAATTTCTAAGCTAAACAGCTTTTCATCTACTCATTAAAGACAATTTACAATAATTAGCCGAAATCGTTTGTGTTGCCAAAAAAATCTTCAAACCGTTGACACGAATTTTGCAATGTTAAATGGCGATCTGATTCTCAATGATATAGTGGGTAAAAACACGTCAAGTCAGAGAGCCCCCCACGAATCGCCCCACCAATACCGAATAAAGAAAGGGCAAAGTGGTCGGGGCCCCCGCAATTTTCATTATATCCGAGGAAAACTCAACGTGTCTCGATGGACGAGGGCAATCGTCTAATGCGCTGCGGTCGAGATTAGAAGGCAGATGTTGAAATAATCGAAATGAATCTGTTTACACGTCCAAATTAATTGAAAAACGCGTGCAACAGCGCCATTTAATTGAAAATGAAATAGAGGCAGCAGCAGCAGCCGCAGCAGCAGAAATCCGAAAAACCAAATCAGAGGAAAATGCAATGGGCGAGTTCAAAGAGGCTGAGCAGTAGTCCCAGCCACAAATAGTCCATTGGTGGAAATGGGTGGGATGGGGCATTGGGATTCTTCATTTGGCATCCAATGTTGGTGTTGATGTTGCTGTTGTGGCTGCTTCTGCTGATGCTGCTGCTGCAGCTGATGATGTTCCTCTCTGTGGCTGACGATGATGAAATGCGTGCGAATAATTGTCGAGTGCACAGCTCATTGAGAAAATTCCCCTGGAAAATGGAGAAGGTGATGGTGGTGGCGGTGCTGGCAGCAACAGGGAGGCGCAATGTGGGGCAGCACTTTTGCTGGAGTCAATTGCATTCGGACTCTTAGAGCGCCAATCAATCAAAGCCATGTGATTGCCTATCAGTTTCAATTTCTTTTGAATGAGTGCATGCACCTCCTGCCAGAAACCCCACAGACCTCACGATGAGCTATAAAGAAATCACTTACTCACTATTTATTGGTCAGACTCACTGAGAGAATTGGTTTTGATTTTAGATTGTAATTTAAGGTGAATTTAGATTTGCATAATCATCTTTATTTATCACAAAACTCAAAATGATTTCCGTCTTTTCTCTCCTTTTCAGACTCCTTGGAAAACTAGCTTGGGCAGTTCCTACAAGCCTGCCAGCTCTTCGGTAAGAGTTTCAAAGTTTTTCCAAAGAACTTCTAATCTTATTCGAACTTTTACCCATAGTACGGCTCAGCAGGAGACTCCACATCGCGCTACACTTCCCTGGCCACGCCTAGCTCCTACAGACCCTCGTTCTCTGGAGGAACATACCGCCTCAAAAGGGATCCACCACCGCCAACCACCACAACTCCAGTTACCAGCTATGTCAGTCGCTATGCCAAGGCAGAGCCCAAGGAGGCAGCTCCAACCGAGCGAACCAGTCCCGTTAAGAGGTATACGGGTGCGTCTACCAGTTCAATGGGGAAATACGGTCGTTCAAGAGATCCCAGTCCGGTGGCCTTGGAACACACAAATCGCAACAAATCTCGGGATCCGAGTCCCGTAATGGATAGCGCCAGGAGTAAATTGGGTTCTACATATCGTGGAGGTAATGCCACCACGTCCTCGTCATCCTCTTCGGCAACCAGAAATGCTTACAGCAGTCGCTATGGAGCAGGTTCTCGGGGAATCTCAGGGAATGGAAGTGCCTTATCTTACTTGACCACCAGTGACTTTCATGCCAGAACTGCCAGCAGGGCCAAGGCGAGCAGAGAAAGGGAGCGGGAGAAAGAGAAGGAAAAGGAGCTGGAGATCGTGGAGAAATCCGCAGATGCCTCCAATGGCAAGGATAAGTCTCCTGAAAAGCAGCAGGAAAAACAAACGACAGAGACAGAAGCAGAAGCCAATGAAACCTTCGTCACCATTTCCGTAGTGACCCGAGCCACTTCACCCACTTTGCCGGGCAGCACCACCGTACAACGAACCCGTCGCATTGATCCAGCCAAAACCATCGAGAAGACCATCCAAAGATCCACAAAAAGACGGGAGACAACGGATCAGGAGATACAGTCAGATCGAATGGATGACTCCACTCGATATCTTCGTTATAGTGCTGGCAGTAGCATAAGTTCGACCTACAGTCCACATAGGGATAGGATTAGTAGCCTCCGGTACAGTGCTAGTCCGTTGAACAGTTCAGGATCAGGAAAGTCCAGTCCTATGGGTGAGGCTAAACCGATTCAATCGATACCAGAATCTGTATCACCAGCTAGGACCAATGGTTCCATTAGCTCTGCCAAATCCTCAGAAGCTTTATCACCCCCAAGGACCATCAATGGGTCAGTTAGTTCAGGAAAATCACCTGAAGCCCTCTCCCCACCGAGAAGTAATGGCTCTATAAGCTCATCCAAGTCTCCAGAAGCTGTATCTCCACCAAGGACGAATGGATCTTTGAGCTCATCGAAATCCACAAAGTCCAAGCTATCACCGCCGAAGGCCATACGCTTGAACTCCCGCCAATCGTCAGTGGAGAACCTTGTTAACAAACCACCTGCACCACCCAGCAAGGCGGATTCACCCACCAAGACATGCAGTTCCAGTTCTGGTAGCTCAGCTGTGAAATGGCCCAACAAGGACTTCCGTAAGTCCTCCTTAAATGTGGGTCCAACGGATAGGCCACGAAAGTCACGAACTCCTAGTAGTGGAGGGGAGTCGGAAGACCTACCCAATGGCAGTAGCCTCGAACGATCACCAAGTGCGGGATCCGAAGGCAGTTTAGCCTCTGGTAGCTCCTCAAAGAAATCAACAAAGCTAAGCAATGGCAAGGTGCCAGGAAGTGCGAAACCAAAGAGCCATAAATCCTGCAGTGAAACGACCACTGGCAACTCATCCTCGGCCAACGCCTCCGCTTCTGATAGCGATCAGCGGGTCAAGACCGTGAAAAAGCAGGCCAAAAAGAAGACCACCAAAGAGGGCAGTGCTGGCAAGGTTGCCGCCGCCCACAAGTCACAAAGCACCACTGAATCACCGCCCGCCGTGGCCACTGATGTGATGCCAGCGACACAGACAAGACTGAAGAAGCTCTCGGCGGTATCGAATTTTTTCGCTAGCCGTCAGCAAGACGCAAATAACGAGCCGATCTTCCTTGAAAGCTCCGAGAGCTCGGGCGAACCGGAGGCTCTTTCGCTGCCAGTGATCTCGGGCATATCGGCCATCTCGAAGATCTCGAAAATCTCTGGGATCAGTCTGACTACAGATTTGCGAACGAACGAACCGCGAACGACGCCATCGAGCGAAGCGAAACACACATCCCAAACGAATTCTCTAAGTTCGAGCACACGTTGTCCACGAGAAACCACTACAGGAACAGGAACGGGAACAAGATTACCCACCAGCACGAGTAGCACCACCCAGGACACGAGTCTCACGACCACTGCGAGTTTAACGACCTCCGAGCAGGACGATCCCAGTTGGTGGCAGGATACCAGCCTGCAGATAAACACGGCCTCTGCTTTGGACCAAAATAATCGAGGAGAGATGCCTCCTTACCGGTTGAGACACATAGACTCTGGGGAGGAGCAGGCCTGGTGGCTGCGCCACGATGAGAATGGCGATGATGATGACACACTGGCGGAGGAGACTCTGAATCCCCTAGATGACGATGCCCAGGAGCCAAGCAAAGGTACCTGGTGGAGTCAGGAGGATCAGGACTCCAGCAGTAAGGTGAAACTGATGCCCAGGAGCAGGATAACACCGGAGAAGGATGCCTGGTGGCTGCAGGATGAGGAGGAGGCTGTGGAAACTCCCAGGGAGAATGGTGATCTGAACAACAACAGCGAGCCGCATGTAGAGGTGACCTTAAGATTACCCTCAAATGGCAGCCAAAGGAGCTCGAAGGGAACTCCTTCAAAGAGCGGCAGCAATTCCAAGAGTGGTGGCTCTAATCCTTGGTGGCTATCAGGACCCGCCAGAAAGATGTTCAATGTGCAGCGGGTGGAGTCCGGCGAAAGAGCCTGGTGGCAGGAAGATCCCGAAGAGACCCCTCAAGAGGAAAAGGAGAACGAGCCCCCGCCAGTGAAGCCACCAACTCCCCCACCACGAATCATCAAGCACTGGGAGTCCGGTGAGCGTGCCTGGTGGTTACAGGAAGACACAGAGAACACACAAATCCCCAATCAGCCAAGCAGCGATGATGAGGAACAGCCAGTGGTGGTGGTATGTCAGCAGGATTCTAGGGATGAAGTAGATCTGAGGCTGGCACCACCCACGTTGGTATCTCAGGAGCTGAGTACTTCCTTTAACTTCGACGCCTACTCCGAACGACCGCCGCCACTGGGTCAATGCGCCAGTCCCGTCCGCTGCCCCTCGCCCTATGACAACATTCCAAGGTCACAAGTGCAAGAACCACCACCACCATCTCCTCCCACTTTGACCACCCTGCAACCACGCTTTTCACCGCAAGCACGACGGGCCGGAGAAAAGCTCTTCATCTCACGGCATCAGAACATCGATGAGCTACTGGGCGGTGCTTGCCGCCCCCTCAGTCCACTCTTTTATGGAAACAATAATCCTACGGAGGCTGAGCTGACCCCGTTAGCCAGCAAGAACATGTTCCTGCTCGAGGAGGTGACACCCGACCAGGTGCGAATCCACGACAGCACCGCCCAACTGCCGGTCATCCAGAGAATGCAGCGGTGAGTTCATATTTGACTTGTTAATAGCCTTAAGTCTTGATTTCCTTCCTTAGTAGCAGTTTGTATTCTTTCCTTATATTTATTTTTGGTATCTTACAAGGTTGTTAGTAATAGACATTAACTTCCTCAGGTGAGACTTTTGGCACTCGCCTCTGAGAATTAATTTAGGAAAACTCTTGAGATATATAAGTTCGGAAAAATAATGCCGAAGAAAAAGCTTTCAGAGAGAGCTTTTCGGTTTGTTGTGTGGTGAATTTACTCAACATGTGGTTGCTTATCTCTCTCTTTTGATCTTGCAGCGATGTCGAGTGGTTGGAGAACGGTAGCAACTTTTACGAGCCACCCAAACAACAACAACAACATCAACAACAACAACAACAACAGCAGCAGCCGCGCAGGGTAAGTGTCCAACCACCCCCTTGGAATCCCCTAATTTCAAAACAGATTGCAAACGTTTTGGCAGTCTGCCCGTCTTCTTGCGATATATCGACTGCCGCCTACACTTTAGTTTATTTATACAGATACCCTCTGTAGGGGGAGTATATATGGGAACGGGTATATTCGTTCAACGTTATCTTGACTTAGATAATATCTATAATGAGAAACTTCTTAGAACGTTTACTTTTAAGACTCTCTTTAAGTTCTTATTGCCATCATTTAACCGTAACTTTCTCTCAAAACAACACCTTGATATTCTATATATCCAAAAGATTTAATTACCAGGTGACCTCGCTTATCGGCAGATATATTGATAAGGCCGTAGTGCCCCACCCCTCCCACACCTTTCACTTATCGCAAAACTTCTTGACACTCACCGCCCCGTATCGTTTACCTGCAGCTGGGTGTTCAATTTTAATACCTGGAATGACAAAGGGCAACTGAGGGCGAGCCGAGGTGCGCGCACCCACACCCAAATTGAATGCGGTGGTGCAGTGGTGCAGTTATCACCTCCGGCATCGCCAGCCAGATTCGGTCTTGAGTGACAGCCATCAAGTGGCTGAGGCAGCCGGAGGGGTCTGTGACTCAGCCGCGGTTCGCAGGCACTCTGGTATTCTGAAAATAAGAAAAATCACAAACAATAAGAACTTTTTCAGTTGGGTATTCGAATAGGCGATGACCTATAGTTTGGTTATATATGTGTACCTTTTTAAGCTGTTTAATACAAATAAGCTTTGGCTTTTGGATAACACTTAAAATGTTCCTAGTAACCCCTTAAAAACATGTAACTAAGCAACTAATATACCCTTGTAATACCTTGTAATACAGTGTAAATGCAAATACAACAAAGTGCAGCGATGTCAGAACAAAATGCGGAACAGCAAAGAGAACAAAAACATGAGCACACAAATTTTATCTTAATTACATTCAGTCGCCGGCTTTCGGGCTTCCTTCCCCGGATTTGGATGGCGGATCCAGATTGAGATTCACATCCACATCCAGAGTCGCGCTCCAGTTTGATGGGCCAACGGAATAACAGCTCACATTAACACACCAACAAGGGCCGTGGAACGAGAACAACTCTCGGCTAAATGGGTCATAATGCAATTAACATGAACATAAAGCCAAATCGAGGGGGAAAGAAGTCGCTGCCAGAGCTATAACTGTAAAAATATATATTCAGAGAGGGGCAAATTTCGATTGCAAATATTTGTTTATTCATTTCGCTTCTTATTTGCGAAATACGTTAAGGCAATTGTTGACTTTGTGCTGCCAAATGTGGCCATAAAAATCGTCGCCGTACATTAAAAATCGAAAGTCCATTCAACTCGCCATTAAAAAAGTAATACCTAGAAAAGCTCTGTGTTCTCACCTTTTGAACCCAAATGAGTCGCTAACCAAAAATAGCGAATGGCATTGATGCGCGAAAAGCAAACAACAAAAGAAACCAAAAAAGATATTACCCAAATTACATTATAAGAGACATTTAGTTTCATTTATCGCAGCTGCGAAATAAAAACAAATGAAAACATCAAAAACATTGCGAAGATATGTGAATGACTCAGGTTTACGTATGAGGTCCCCTTCCCATTTTCCCCCCGGATGCTGTCTTGGTTTTTCTCAAGGCAATTGTTGTTTCTTTTTCGGGCAGAGACAACTCTATTATCAGTTCTTGCACTGTTTTTTATGAAGCTTACTCACTCTTTAAGCTTGAATCGGTGTTTGATAATGAAAACGATTGTCTTAGCGGTGACGTTATGAATGGTACTTGGGGAAAACCTAAGAGGTTTAGGTGTGAAGTGTGAATAAATTTTGAGAGTTTTATTTTTGGAGAAAAGATTATCAATGTTTTAATATTGATATTTTTGAGGCAAAGCAAGACCCAGGCATTTATGACCTCCGCGGTTAATCGTGTCTAAATAAGCATTAAGTAGAGTATAAAATTTTCCTAAATAATTAACTTGGCAATTTACCCCTTTGATTGCCTGCCATAACCATTGGCATTTGGCACTATCGATTTGCAATTAAGTAGCATATCGAATGTGCGCCCATTAGTCGGCATTCCCTCCCAATGGCACTTGTAAATCTGCTGCCTGCACCCAAAATTCATTGCCCATAATGGCAGCCTGGCAGCGTGGCAGCCACACACCCACCACGAAAAGTCAGCGCCCATCGAGCAGCGGGTGAGCTGCAGCCCCAGCATAAAGTCCAGCTAATGATAGGCTAACGCTCCATCAACGATAAGGCCAAATTGTGGCACACGCGCTGCCCGTCGAGCTATTTTTAGGCCCCTCGCATGGGGAGCACTTGCAACTTGCAAGGCACACTAAGCACAATAATGTGTAGTTACTTCAAATTGAAACAAAAGCTAGAAATATGTTTATTAATATTTCTTATTTAATACAGTTGTATAAAAAAGGTTATTGCCTATAATGTCAAAATTTTATTAGTATTAAACTTAGGCAAAATTAAAGCCCTTTTGTACGATTACTAACAATTGGTTTCAGTGCATGTTCAATTAGAGAGACAAACACCAAGTAACAACAATGTTGCAGACACTTACCTGACCACACTCACACTAAAAACACGTCAAACTCACCACGCTCGCAACCTGCCTCAAGTGCCTTACGTCTTGGGGTCCTACGACTACCATACGTGAAATACTACGATATATGGTATGACGTCACACAGTGGGGCATAAATTATAATATAGAGGCACAACGAAAAGTTACTTTGCAGTCTTTAAGAAATGTTAGTTTCGTGGCCATGTTATTCAACCACTTAAGTTTCCAAGATATTCTTTTTCTAATTAGTTTTGGTCAATATTAATCTAGTTGCTTATTAAACAGAGTATACAATATTTATGGCTCCTATTTGTCCCACTGTGCACCAGCGTCTTAGTACCTGAGTATCTAGTCTTACGTAGTTTAGGTCCCTCTCTCTTACGTGGTCTTCCCATGCCTCTCTCTCTCTCAGCGGCTTCTTCTTGGCTGCCGTCTTTTCTTCTTCTTTCGCTGCTTTGGCGCTCGCTTTTTTCAAAAGGCTTTTCAGTTGCCTTGCGAACGCGCTCAAGTTCAGTCGTTTCGATTTTGTCGCGGGTGAAAAAGCCACCGTGGTAACAAAAACAAACTTCGCTCAGCTGCGCGCGTCGTTTTGTCCAGTGTTTGTGTATGTGTGTTTTATTGTTGTTGTTGGCAACGTTTATAATATTTAAACTGCCTTAGTTGCTACAACAATTGGTAATTGGAAATGCTAAAAAAAATCCCAAGTGATTAAGCCAAACGAAAACGAATCGGCGATAATTGTGCGAAACGAATTTGTGGAAGAGGCGGAAACATCGTTAATAATAATAAATAAGCAGACAAGCCAACTAGCCCACATATGATTGCAATTTGCCTTAAAGATTATTGATTTTTGGCATGTCACTGTGTCAGTGTCAATGGACAACATAATCCGAAAGATTCGTCTCAATTGAGGCTTCACTGTGGGCGCCACTCAACTGAACTTTGGTTCAGTGTCAAAAGTTCTTCAGTTTTTTTTTTTTTTGGGGGAAACAGCTGTCTTTCCACATAGTATTAGTTTCGTCTCCCTCTGTCTTGAACTTCCTCTTTGGTCAGTGGATAAGGACAACACCAACTCACACCTATTGAGGATCTGTCCCTGTGAACAAGATGAAGAAGAAGCACAAACACATAGCAAATAGTGGTAGTAAAAATTGAAATATACAAAAAATAAAAGAGACAGAAATAGAGAGAGACAGAGAGGGAGCCGAAAACCGGAATTGTGCAAATAAATCTCGATATAAGTCGAGGTCCCAGGCTTCTTTCTTCTGGCTTTGGCTTGGCTTTTCCGCAAGGAAGCAGAGATTTTGCCAAATTACGAGCTGGGAAATATTGTTAATTTTCGACCATTAAAGGAAATTGCCCCCCAAAGGCGATAAATGATCGTGCTTTCTTTCTCTTGAAGTACTCGGCATTAGTAATTGCATATTCCCATCTGTCACCTGGTAACCCACAAATTATTGACAGCAAATTAGCTTCATTGTAGTGCCCCAAATACCAAGGCCCTCAACTGTCGCTCAATTAGACTTGATTGCATTATAATACTCACTCTATATATATAGACAAACCTCTGTATAATCAGGCACATGACCAACTCAACTAAAACTAACCCAGCCAGCACTAAAACATACTCCAGTTCCTCTTCTTCGCCTTCGACTGCTCTTCTCCTGCTTGGCATTTATTTACTTTTTAATATGCAAATAAAGAATGCTGTGGAATTTATAATGGCGAAACAGAATAAGTTAATTCAGTTAGCCAGCTATCTAGTGTGCAAAAATGAGGAGGGAAAAAAACTAAAATAAAAGAGCAGCTGTTCTGGGAAGTTGGCGAGGGGTTAGCGGGTGTGAGCAAACCCCATTTCAACGCGGTTAGAGCGCTAAGTACGAAGTACAACACTAGAGCTTCTATTTAGTTACAGACACAAGCATGGCGAATTACAGTCTCTTGTGAAATTCTGTGGACTGATTTGGCAAAAAGACGTGCGAAAATATGCAATGGGAATATGAGAAATTAGAACGAATGTGATTTAAGATTAACTTTAGTGATTGTGATTATGTTTCGTACAGTTATGGGGAGTTTAATGATACTCTAATCTGATGATCTGCCAATAAAAAAACTTAAAGCCATCAATTTGTAAGTTAAAAGCCAAGACGATCATTTCATTTGGCATAGAAAAACTGAACAAATTTTGTGCAAATTTTGATGTCTCTGAACTCTAACTTTAAAAAAAGGCAAGGTGGCATACTTGACGCACCCACTGTGGCAGGTCCGTCGTAAACGTAGTTACGATTTTAATTATCTGCCGGCGTAATCTGCCAGCAAAGTCGACCGCCTGTTGACGTGCCAACCGCGAGACACTTCAGATTTTAGCCAGGGTTTTTCAGCTCCATCTTCGGCGAC